CCCACAATCCTTACAAGGTGTAACTCCACAATCGTTACAAGGTGTAACCCCACAATCCTTACAAGGTGTAACTCCACAATCGTTACAAGGTGTAACCCCAGCACAGTTACAAGGTGTAACTCCAGAATCGGGCCAAGGTGTAACCCCACAACCGTTTCATGGTGTATTTCCACATCCATTTCAAGATGTTCCATCACATCCATCACAAGATATACCTGATCAGCAACAGCTGCAAGAGCGCATGTCACAATTTTTGCAGCAACTTAGTCCAGAACAGATGCAGATGCAAATGATGTTTATGCAAATGATGCAGATGCAGATGGGTATGTTTCAAGGTGTCCCTGGGCAACCAGGAATACCACCATTTGGTGTGCATCAAAGTATGCCAGGATATCTAGGAATGCTTTTGACACCTCCACAGCAATATCCATTAGGTAGTCCTCACAATAAACCAGCACAGTGTGTAGGAAACATGCTTCCTGTACAGCAAACCAGTATGCAGTGGTCACAACCTGAGCATGCTGAAAGGCAACAACAGCAAGGAATTTCCCCAGGATCTTTTCTACAACAGCCATCACAAACATCAGAGAACCATCCTGTGTTGAGTACATCAACACAACAGTCCAACTTGGCACAAAGTCAGGGACCATCTACAGCCTCTCTTGATGGTCAGGGTAGAAAACAAGCCCAATCATCAACAAGTGCAGCATATGCAATTGGACAACAACAGGAGTCCCCAATTGCTAATACTCAAATGACACAACAATTGCAGTCATCAAGTAATCAACTCAAAGCAACAGACCAGCAACCTCAGTCTCCTTGCACTACACCACTGGATCAACAACAGACATCAGTCAACAAAACTGGTGTGATTCTACCTGAACAAGGTGCAAAACAAGTTGAGATGCAGCAGCAGCCACATGCAACAGCAAATTTGCACTCACAAGCTAAACCACCAGTGGGTCAACAACAAATGCAGCATCAAATTGAAAAACAACAATTAACCGATCTGCCAAATTCACAAGAGCAACCATTGCTTTCACCACAGCAAACTATTCCAGTACATACAAATCAGCCTACATCAGGACAACAAGCTGCTTCTACATACAAGACTCACACCAGTCCAAATGATGCTCCCCAAAAAACTACTGCTAATGATCCACAGCAAAGAATACCAGAAGAAACAGCAAATAAATCACTACCTGAGGCACCTGATGATGCATGTGCATCTCTTGAATTACTTCCTCATGGAAAATTTCTTGAATTGTTTAAAATAAAATTAGCATGTGAAGATTGTATTTTCAAACATGGCTCTGGTGTCAACAGTTACAAAGTTGGTGGATCAAAAAATCATTCTAAGAAAGGATGCAAAAAAACAATACTCTGTTGTTGCCTTAATAATGGTAAAGATAATCTGTGGAGAATTGTCAGAAAAAAACCAGAGAAAATTCCAGAGTCGCTATGCCAAGAAGCTGAACAAGATGAACCATGTGGACGTCCACCAGGAAAATGCCCATTTGCATATACACTGGTTGAACGTCAAGTTTGGCTTGCAGAGCAAAAGGGCATTTTCAATCGAAAAGAGTTGTTTCCAAGCTTGAATGATAATGCTGCTATTATGACCTTGCAGCGAAGAAAAGAGGCATCTGCAAAACAAGATGGCTCACAAGTGGGGAAAAAACAAGAGAAAGGAGGCTTCAGCCAACAAGAAACTAAAATCAGAACAGAAGTGATCATACAGCTTCCAAATTCAGCAAAACTTGCAGACCAAACTAAAAGTAATGTTCCAATGGATGAAAAAAAGAACATAAAGTCAGAAGTACCATTTCCAGAAGTGGCACTTTCAAATGAGTTTGAAAAAAAGGCACCATTAGATGAAAGTAAAGATACCAATGAGACAGACATACAGGAACAGGCAGACGATAACGATGAGGTGAATGCTAACAAAGGAAAAACTGATGACAAAGAAATAAGCAAAAATGACCAGGTGACTGTTAAACCTTGATCATTTTATTCCCTATCATTATAATTTTTATATGTCTCTTTTGAGATTTTTGAATAGATTACTGACAATATTCCATTCTATCATTCTAGAAACTTTATCTAATCCTTATACATATTTTCTTAAACAATTTTAATGTTATATGTTAGAAAAATTTCAGACATATCAGTAAAATCCCTATTCGAAAGAGGTCTGTGTGTACGTATGCATCTCAACTAGTATCTCAAACCTCACACATACATTATGCATTTTAGGATACATGCACATACATTGGTTTTGCGATCCGATTCATGATGGCCAAAAGTGGCCATTTTTGTGCTAAAAATTTATCAGAATCAAGCATTTCTGTCATTTTGGAACCAGATATCGGCCATGTATGAATGTTTTGTTCAAACTTGTACAAACATTGGACAATGTGGGACACTGATTCAAGTTTGTTTTTAAGATCAGATTCAAAATGGCCAACTGGTGACCATTTTGTATTAAACGCTGTTCCAATCTCCAAATTGCACATATGCCTATTTTTTCATATTATTCCAATTGAAGATGGCTGAATTGCAGTTGTATCATTGTTAAATATTCATCAAAATTAAGCATTTCTGAAATTCTGGATCTGGATCTTGGCCATTTATAGCAGATTTTGTTCAAACTTGTACATGAAACTTTATGGTACCCTAATGCATGTCATTCTATTTGTCAGATCAGACTCAAAATGGCCAACTTTTGTGAAGATACGTTTAATTCTGTATTTTCCACTTCTACTTGAAAACCGCTTGCCCAATTGCTTCGATTTCATATAGGCAGACACCTTGAGTGTACTGTACTCAGATTTGTTCATGTTATGAAGATAACTTCAATATACATGTACTATACAGTAGTGCTATATCAGCCGACAGGCTGCTTGTAAAAACTATATGAAAATTGGATTTATGAAATTATAAAACTTGTTCTTGATTTCTAATATTTTATTTAATAATTTATTTGTAGCCCCCTGAATCTGGTGGAGACTGGTACCAAAAGAATAATGCAACTGGTGATGAAAAAAAAGACAAGAAAAAAAAGAAAAAGTAAGCTTTATTCTTTGAGGTACAATTGAATAGTTATGCTTATTATACATGCACTTAGTGTGCACAGTCACAGGGCGGTCAATAAATCTTATTGGCTTGGAGTTGATAAGGAAAATCAAGTGACCTTGATTTTGTTTTTGCTCATACATAGATTTTTACAAAAAGTCAGACTCTACGGTAACGTTTGATTTATGTTATATTAATTTATTTGGTACAATATAACATAGGGCAATGCCATTCAAACTTTGTATCATGATCATGGTTACAGGCGCACATCATATTTTTTCAAGATTGAAACGAAAATGGTTGAATGGCGTCCATTTTGTTTTTATGATGTCCATACCGATTCCTCACCAATATTTTGCTGGTACAGCTGAAAGTATACATTACAAGTACTATACCCTAATACTAATACTGTAGGTTGTGTTATTTTTATCATTTGATCAAATTGATGGTCATTTTGTCTAAAAACTCGCAATTTATATATACCGGTATATCCAGAACCATTTGTTGAAGACGAACAGGACGATTTCATTGAAACTTTGTATCATGATGTGCATGTCATATTTTTTTTCAAACTTTATATAAAAATGGTGGCAGTCATTTTGTTTTTGTTCATATTCATGCTGATTCCTCACTAATATATTGCCTGATTCAGTTGAAAGTTTGTGTATAGGTACTACAGTTTGTATACACATAGGTAACATCATCAGTTTTGCTTTGTCTAAAATTCTAAATTGTAGTCTGTAGATGTGTTCGTAACCATTTCTCATAGATATACATGTACAGGACTTTTTATCAGAATCAATCATACATTGGTTATACATGTAGATGTACATTATTTTAACAACTGTTTCTTTGTGATGGCTTGCATGATTTCATTCAAACTCAGTACAATGATTCTACATACTGAATTTTGTTCACACATTGCATTAATTAGTGATTCAGCTAAATATTCTCAGCCCATATTATAGTACATTGCCAGCAACGACTGATCCCAACACAGCACTATTTAGCCAAATGTACACCCATACTGGATCGCTACTAGTGATGAAATTTGGCATTAAATGACTACCCAACTATACAGCATATTTATATCAGCCAACAGGCTGTTTTTATTAATTTTATTTTAATTTAATCATTAATGAATCTAGTTCCGTGCACATATATTTATAAATATTTCTGCCATCTTTGCCATCTTTTAGCATTGTTAGCAACAAAACTTTGTATAAAACGACCCCAATTATTCTTTTTATTGAATGCACCCCTAGAATTTTATGTAGAAAAAAGCTCATTGTACTGGTTTATGCCAATCCTCACTGTATTGTCACAGGAAAGAGAAAAACAAAGAAGCAGAGAAAAAGCATGCTGAGAGAAGTCAAGATGTTATTCCGGAAGCTCTGAAGCATTCAGGGAAAAATACCATGACAGTTAATTTTTCTGTGTGGATGTCACCTGATTTTGGATATGATTCTCTGAAACATGAAGTTGTGATCAGATGCAGTTTACCTGAGTTTGGAGGATGGAGTGGTGGTCAACCATGTGTCAAAATGATGCCAACAGAGTGAGTAATAAGCTTGTTGATCAATTAATGTGTGTTTAATGTTTACATTAAACAGTATTTATGGACACAACATTTGCATAACCTCACGTGTTTCCTGTTTAGCCATTCTGTACTTTACCAATTTTATATGTTGTGTCATAAATGATCAAATTAATTCTAAACTTCTAGTATATGGCTTTATTGACTGCTGTGTGCGAAGCACACTATGGGAGTCTTTGTGGTTACCCTATTTGTGTACATGCATGTATGACTTTTTCACCATTATCTCAAGAACCAATCATGGCATTTCAATGCAAATTAATTAGTACATAGTTGCTATGGAACAATGCACAGACCTGATTTGTTTTGGGTTCTAATCAATGCATGTAAATTACCTAATTTGTATAATAATTAGTCAATGCCCAGCATTTCCACTGATACCTTGAGTACTACAGGTAATCATCACATTTCAATGATGCTCTTGGACAATGAAAAGACCTGATTATATTTAGGTTAAAATCCATTCATATTAATTTACATAATAATTAACTAATTTTCAATTTTTCCATCAGTAACTCTAGAACCAGTCTACTGATATATTGAGCACCAATAATTGCATTTCAATAAATCTTGGAACATACTATTAGGTGTCCTTGAAGACTCCACAGGCCTATTTAATTTTTGGTTGAAATCTGTGTATATTAATTATCAAATTAATTGTTCAGTCATACTTGGCTTACCATATTTCAGAACATCGCTCGTGTTCAAGGAAAAATTTGTGCACAGGGTGTTCTAATTGGAGGTAGCATGCAGAAATTAGATGACTCATTAGAGGAATGGATTCTGTCATTACGTAAATTACAGTGTCGTGATGAGGCAACAGATCAGGAAATTTTAGTTGCAGCAACTTGGCAGAATCAAGATACGTAATGCTTTGTGATCAGTTCAATCTATTCAATTGGGCTCCCTAATTCCCTAATTTAAATAAATGGGCCAATTTTTTGTTGTTCTACAGATCTCAAATACCACTATAACTGCTGCTGAAAACTTACACTGACTTGTATTATTTATATACTGTCTAAAATCAGATAAATATGGGTTTAATTGTCATTAACTCTGGGATTGTTAAAGCAAGAGAGGTCTACTGAATGAGGTGCCCTCTGGTGAAAAACCTGGCCGAGCACTTGAGGAGACATTTTACCAACTTTAGTTTGCTTTTTTCACCCAGATTGAGGAAAGTTCAGTTGACCGGCACAAGAGCTGCCTGGAAGGCTGAGCAGTGTGCCTGTAATTATTCAGCAGCAATAAAACAAAAAACTAGAGGTTTTCCACAGTTTTGTCATTGCTACTAATTTCTATCACTAATATGTATTATTTACCAACAGGTAATCATCAAAATTAGATACATATGGGTTAGAATAACATCGATGGAGATGAGTAGACAGACAAAGTTATTAAAAAAGCCACTATATAATAATGCAATTATTTAATACATTACCATTCTTTATGTCATGAAAAATGTGCACATATTCCTTACAGAAATGCCTAACTTCATGCACTTTCGCAGTATAATACTTCTCTGTGTCAGCATTTGCATTTGCAAGCCTAAAAGCGTACAGAAGCCTTTGTATGGCAAATGAACATTTTAGGCCGGGTGTCCTCTGTTTTTGAGCATGACAGAACACATGAAGAACCAGAACCATACATTATCAGACTTTGGGGTTCTGGTATACATAACAAACTACAGATGTTCAATAATTTTTTTTTTTTTTTAAGTTTAATGCCTCTATTAACTTCAATACTGTGCATCTCAATTATCAGTTCTTTTATTAAAAGGCTAATTTTAAGCTCTTTTGTAATAATTAGTTTTAAATTTTCCCTATTTCTGCTTTGTACAGTTTGTATGCCTACAATACCCTCAGCATATAGGATTTCTTTAAGCTTTAGGCTGTCGAAAGGAGGAGAGAGGAGCTAGTCATATTAAAAAATGCACTTCATAAGAAATTGAAGATGAAATACATTTTGTAACAGGGTGTGATTTTTATAATACTGAAAGAGAAATACTTTATACAGGATTCACAAATGTACTCCCCACTTTTCAATCAGAAAACAATATAAACAAATTCTAAACTATTATTAATACACAGGAACACAAATTAATCAAGTACATGCATGTGACTAAATAAAATAAAACTTTGGTTTAAGAAACAAGACACATAGACATATCATTAAACTACATTGATTTTAATTTTCCTTAACTTTTATTTTATTTTTGTTACTGGTTTTTAACTCCCGTGTGCGAAGCACACAATGGGAGTCTTTGCAGTTACCCTGTGTGTATGTGTGTGTGTATGTGTGTGTGTATGTGTGTCTGTCCATTCCACTGATATCTCAAGAACCATATGTTGGTTTTTAATGAAACTTGGTGTATAGATGCTCTGAGCTAATGCGCAGATTTGATTGGGTTTTGGTTGAAATCCATACATATTGATTACCTGATTTGCATGATAATTAGCTAATTTTTAGCTGTTCCTTGACTGTTCCACTGATATCTAAAGAAACTTGGTAAATAGATGATCTGGACTAATGCACAGATGTGATTAGTTTTTGGTAAAAATCCATGCATATAATTAACTTAATTTGCATAATGATTAATCAATTATAGGCTTTTTCACTGATATCTCAGGTACTAATCATCACATTTCAATGAAACTTACAGAGATACATAGGACGATGCACAGATATGTGAAATATTAATTTGCCAATTTGCATAATTAATCAATTTTCAGCTTTTGATATTTCAAGTACTATTACTTCATTACATTTCAATGAAAATTGGTACATAGATGCTCTAGAACAATCCAAAGACCTGGTTAATTTTAAGTAAAAATGTGTGCATATTAATCAACTAATTTGCACAATTAGTTAATTTTTGGCTTTTACACTGATATCGAAAGTACTAATTATTATAACTAATTATAACTTTGTACATTGATGCTCCAGAACAATGCACAGACCTACTCGGATTTGGGTTAAAATCAGATCATATTAATTACCTAATTTGCATAATTTCAATGAAACTTCGTACATAGATGGTCTGTGACAGTACTTATCTTAATTTAATGAATCTTGGTATACTCTAACACAATGTGATGATCAAATTAGTTTTAGGTTTATATACATCTATAATAATGACCTAATTTGCATAATTATTTACTTTTCAGCTTTCCACTTATTTAGTTAATCATCACATTATAATAAAACTTTGTACATTTGTACCCTGAAACAATATACAGATCTAAATCTATGCATAATAATTGCTTAATTTATATAATAATTTATTTGGTTCATTGAGGTAATTCACAGACATGTTTAGTTTAATGTTGATAAACATGCATATTGATTATCTATTATTATTTCTGATATAAAAAAAATCAGATTTAAATTGAATTCATCGCAAAGGTTCTCTGGAACTAATTAGACTAAAAACCATGTATTTTCTGTATGTATTATAAATTTGTATAATGTGAATCACATTTTTTTCATGTTATGCATCTCAAATAGCAGACAAAAATTAGTTGCCAAGCTTCTTGTTTGAAAAGCAAATCTTAAATTTTGAGTTAATTTTAATGTGTCTCCAATACTCTCAGCACACAGGAGTTCTTTCTAAGTTTTCTTTGATTGGAATTTATTACATAACAGCCTAAAATGATTTGTTGCATTATGGTGTAATAAATGAAATTATTACTATTACTGAACCTATGCTATTTTTGACTTCTTGAAAACTTCAGCTAAATTTCATTGATACCTGGTAAGTTGGTATCTTGGATAGCTCTATCAGATTTGTTCATTATGTGACGGTATCTTCAATTCTCTATTTTAAGCAACATGTGAATTAGTGAAACACTAATTCACAAACTGGAGTTGATGAATCCATAACTCATCAGTGATAAAATCTAAACACAAGAGTAGAATGTGAACAAAGTCAAGGCTATTTGTTTGTCCACTGTGATGTTTATGTAACTACACATAAGCATGCAATTACTTTTGCAAGACTGCTCTGGTGAAACATTCAGTAGCTTGTTACAATTCGCGCTATATTTCTTTTGTGAGGGACATTGAGATTAATACAGAGTATATAATATTAATTGTATTTTTCTTGCCAAATTTTGTTTAGAATCTAAACAAAAGTATAGATTTTTTGATGTATCGTTATTTTTTGTAATGTTCATACAATTCATGTTACATGTATGTTGTTCTATAAGGGACATTGAGATTAATCCAACACATGTAGTATTATTTGAGGAACATATTGGCTAGTATTTTTCTTGCCACATTTTGCTTAATTATTATTAGATATGTTGCTGAACTACTATATTTTAGAAACTTTTATAATACAATTCAAGTTATATTATTCTAAGAGTAACATTGAGATTATTACAGTACAAGTAATATTATTTGAGAAGCATTAATATTTATTAATTTATTATGTAATTATGATGACTTTAGCATTTTTGGTCACAATTACATTGTTTAAGTATCTTTATACTAACTTTTGCAATGCAAAGAATGGATATTAGATCATTAGTTTGTTATCTGTCCATACATTTGTTTTTTGATCTAGGTTATAACTGGACAAGATTGTAATAGTTATGCTATGTTTTTTTGTGTTGCAGAACTATAATTGATGAACTACAACTTTTCAAAGGAGAACTGGTTACTGAGCCAAGGTATCTTCAACAAGAAATGGAATATAAATATGTTTTAGTGAAAGGTCCAAGTAAGAAAGAATCATTATATGAATATATTCCATATCACAACAATAAATATGGGAATAGAATTCTGAAAATTCCAGTTGATAAATGCAAAGCTGGAGGTAAGTATAATAACAACATATATAATTCTAACACAAACCTAAACCATCGTTCCTCAACACCGTGAGGGACGGGGCCTAAACGAACGCCAGAACGCTGTGTTTTCCGTGTTGTGACTTTAAAAAGAAAACATGATCTTTAAGTTTAACTGGTGACCAACTAGATGAGATTAGGGGATTGAAGGACAAAAAAAATGCAAAAAACTATGAGTCACAGGCAAAAATGTTTGCCACTATTTATGACACAAACACAAGAGCATGTACATGAACCAATAATTTATTTGGCAAATAGGGGGGCACACCACAAGACCATCGTACACAAAAGTGAGACAATGCATAACAGACTGATAAGATGGTCCCTGGTGCCGCCCCCAAAATGTAGAACAAAGCAGGTGTAAACTAGCTGGCTTACAGTTTCTAAACTAAAATACAAACTAGAATAAGACTGAAAACATGTTGGTTGGTGCAGCATAGCTGCATGATGTTAGTATGGAATGGCAGATTGCAGCATGACTGCAACTGTAAAGTATAGGCAGCGAGTGCTGCGGCTACACCATGGTTATGCAGCGGGGGCTGCATGAAGTTAAGAGGTTATGGGTAGAGGCAGCGGGGGCTGCAACTACTGAGTTTAGACATTGACGCAGCGAGGGCTGCCTGTGAAGTTGTTAATGAGGTATTAGTAATTACAATAATAAAATTAACAATAATAATAAAACCCACGCAAAATATACCTAAGAAAATATGAATGATCTTGGGGGAATATGAGCTAATCCCATAAGCGAAGTCCCCCGAATTGGTGTTAATGCCAGCCTAATGGGGGAGAATGGG